TACTAAGGATGTTAGAGGCTCAAGTAATACTCCCAGGAACCCTGACAGAACATGAGCAAATGGCACAAACAGATAACTTATAATAAAAAAGTCTAATGAACAGGGAGATATTTAAATTCAAACTTGCTGTTACTTAATGGGATTCACCAAGAACAATGAGAAATCAATCTTATTTGACTGTCAAAAATTCCAAGGCTGGACCAGGCTGGATTATGTCAAGTCATTGGGAATGATAAGTGCTCCCAGAAAACAGGGGCATTCTTGTGTGTCCAGTCTATAACTACTTAAACTATATAAGCACATACCCTGTACCTAGCAATTCCTCTTCTGGGTATACAACTTTTGCACACCTCACTGGTCCATAGATGGACACATCGAAGGTATATACTACAGCACCATTTGAGATTGTGAAAGGTTGGAGACAATTTGATGCCTGTCTTCGAGAGTGTGGAGAGGCAAATGTGATGGGCACACATCAAGTAATATTTTACAATAATCAGAAGTAAAAAGACTGATGATTCTAAAAGTGCCCAAACATAAAAAATTGTAACAAGTTATATAACCCCAAATACCTTACACACATTTAGATCATTCTGTAATCAAAACAATTCTGTACGAATATGTTTTTCAAAGGCAGGAACAAGAGTCTCCCCATTGGACATGTTGGGATGGCTGTGTATGGAAGACAGAAAAAGAGCTGGGGCAAAAGGAAGTAAATGAGTGAATACAAAGAGGGACCTTGTTGGAGGCTGATATTGATAACGCACAATAAAGTGGGCAGTTTGATTAATACAAACCTTTGATCTGACATTTAGCTGTTCATTTGGACATGCTTGGTATGGTATATCCTTATGGTATGATTAGTGTGCTACTTTTCCATAGTCAGGTCTCAGAGGAAGGCGAAGGCAGACCTTCTTGTGTATCTCTGTCTGCCTGTCTATCTGTGCCCCCAATTCTCTCTCCCATGCCATGCTTGCTTGTTTCAAGGAAACAAAACATCAGACTGTTTCTAAGTGGGAGAACAGTGGGAAATTCCTCTAGCTCCTGTTTGGATAAAGAGGCACATGATATCCTGATGTACAGATAACTAGGTCCCCTTCCAACAGAAATTCTGGTAACCACGTGTTTTCCTAGAATCCACCACTCATTGCATTGGAGTCTAGAATTTGCACCGGTTTTCATTCATTTTTACAACCTAAACAAAAAAAAAACCCTGAGTTTTATGTCAGAGGAGACCCCAGAGTTATCCCGGAGAGCATCACAGAACAACCTGACCTGGAAGGGGAATAGCAGGGGCAGAGGCAGTCACAAAGAAGAAAAACACAAAAACAAAACATCAACCTCTGCATTACTCATCTCTAGCTACCTCTTCGCTTAACCTCAAGGTCAAGTCAACCTTTTTACAGTGTTCACGGTCTCCGAGGATGAGCTTTAGCACCAGTCTTGTTTGCCTTTTATAGTATTAAAAGAGACAATGAAACCGGCCTCTCAGAAGATCATTTCACCAAGTCCCTGTGGCTCTGCGGGGAATATATTTGTTTCCTCATTTAAATTCATGTCTCTAAAAGACAAGTAGACCTTGGATGAAATTTCAGGAGACAGCAAATTATAAATAATGTATCCATATTTTTTTCTCTCCCATACGACTTGTATATAATTCCCCCTCGAGCCTTGTGCAAACACCAGAGACAAGAGGACAGGAAGCTATTAACATGATGGAAAGATTGGAATGGGCTCATGTTGTGTGGTATGAACATAAGAAAAGGCATCTTGATCAAGAGAGGTTTTGAGGCCAGATCTTTTCTATAATCATGATGATGGGGAGGAATTGAGAGGAGTAGAGGAAGGGAAAACCATAATCAGGATATATTATATGAGGCAAAAAAACCCCTATTTTTAGTAAAAGGAAAAAAATAAAAAGAAAAATATCATTATTGTTTATTATTATTAGTTATTATTATTGGCATCTCAACTATTTCTCAGACCATTAGATAAGCACCTGCTTGGGTGACTCTCTGATCCTCATCACCCCAGGACAGGGTGAGTGTTTGTCAGTGATGGAGGCTACTTTGAAGGCAAATTTTAAACTCTGTTGTCCATCAGAGAAGGCATAGAAAACTCTCACACAGTCAGTACATCCTCAGAATAGGATGCTGCTAAGTGGAAAATGCAGATATTGTCAATTAAGTTGAAAAGGATGCTAGGAGCATAAAGGAAATTAGCCTCTAACTCCTTCAGCCCTGGTGTACTGTCATGTAGACTTTCAGCGTTCCCCAGACTTGCTCAGCAGGATCAATTCATGCCCATGGGGTCTAGACAAGCAGCCTTTTCATTCTTTGATTGGGTAAATATATTCTGCTTCCCACTTTGGCTACTTTCCCTTTTTGGTACTTTCTCCACCTCCACCTTTAGGAAGTAAATGCACTTGTATTCTTCTTGGATAAAATTTCCTCTTGGCAAGGGGCAGGAACTAGGGCAAAAAGTAAGCAATTATTAATATTAACTGGCCAATGACATTGCAGCCCAGTGTAATATACCCAGGAAGATTTGTATTGTGGTGGAAAACAGAACCTGACATTAGAGAGAGACTTTGGCCTTCATACTCTGCAAGCTGCACATCTTTATAGCATCCCTGCATAGGGTATTAAGAATCTTAGTTCTCTTCTTCAGTTTTGTTTTATCATGAGACTTCCACTTCTGCACTCTGAAGCTGAGATTTAACTCTTCAGTTCATCTATCATATCTGTATATACCAGGTTTTGTACATGGGACTTGGACATGCATTATTTCTTGCCCAAGAAATTTTCACTCAGCATCTAGTTATTTCAGTGGGTTCTGATAAATCTCCAAAACAAAACCAGCAGGGTTTGAGATTCATCAGTGACTTAAATTTCAGCTTTCCATTAAAACTGTAACTTCCAAACATGGATACTCTTTTGCTACATATTAGGCAATAATGGTGAGTCCATTGCTGGTACCCTAAACTCAATATGGGGTGAGTAGCTCAGTTGGTAGTTATATTCATTGCATAGAAGTTGGGCTCTTCAGTTTCCTTCTTTTTTGTTTCTCAGTTGACACTGTCTATGTTTAAGGAGCCCATTGTCTACTGGAGTTGTACAAAATAACAAACCAATCTAAACAGATACCAACAGTCACCTGACCTGCCCATCAAACCAAACCATTAGCCAGCTTCCTCTTCAGATTTCCAAGTCAGTTGTCAATTATCTGATTTAATCCTCCCAAGGTCCTGGCTAGATCTGGAGTCCCACATCAAACTATTGCATCTAAGACAAGGCAGTGATGGTCACAGAAACGGTTATATTTCTCAGTCCAGAGGGATCTGGAAAGGAGCTGCAGCTGTAGATACCACAGAAACTTCAGACGTTTGACACACTGCTCACTACTGCCAGCTGTGACATTAGCAGGATGGGAATGAAAAGCTCATACAACACTGAGCATTTTGGATGACAAAATGATTCCTTTAACCCAATAAACATGCAAACCGGGAGCTCTGTGCATCTGCTAGCTGCATTCTTTTTATGGTGAAAAAATTCTTAATTCAGCAGAAAACTCTTCCCAATGGGTCTTTAAGTGGAGGCTCCATAAGGGACCCTTTAATTAACCTATGAAAATGCAGGATGAGTTTGAATAAGAGGTGACACCCTAGTTCTTAATAAGGTATCTTTGAAACAGCAAAATAAACTTCAGCCTCAGAAGAGACATCAAGTGTTCTCTAGGTTCCACTTGGTAAAGATATGTCACAGATTCATGTCTTGTTGTGTGATCAGTTTATTTCTATTTTCCCATTAAAATATTAGCTCTTGACTAATGAACTCATTGAAGACACACTTTAAAGTATTGAAAAGTATAAACACAAGGGAAAGGGACTCATTCATTATTTCACTATTCAACAGTGAATTTGAAGTATTTGATCAACTTTGCTTTGTTATCTAGAATGAGTAGATTGAGTGGAGGGAAGGGGTGAGGGGGTGGCACTTTCTGTTGCTTTTTTGAGAAGGAAGGGCAGGCTCTGGGACATGGAGGAGGACCCAGTCATCCTGGTACTCTGAAATTCAGGAAACCTGTGTTTAGGAGTGAGGGATATGCTCATAATAGCCCCACTGATGGACACACCCTCATCCCTAAAAGGTGAGAGTCAAAAGTCTGGACTGGGTGGGCAGTTACACATCACAAACTATAAAGGGATGCCTTGGAGGTAGCAGAGAGGACTATTAACAGTTTAGATCCCAGGGCTGGACTATCTGGGGTCAAATCTCAGCTAACTTTAATGTCATAGGATCTTGGATGAGTTATCTCATCTCTATTGTACCCTACTTTCCTTGTCTATTATATATATATATATATATATATATATATATATATATATATATATAGTGTGGCTTAGTAGAATACTTTTACCTAATATGTTATGGTCCTAGGTTTGATTCTTGTGGAGCTGGGTATTGAATCTGGGATCTCATACATGCTAAGAAAACGTTCTGTCACTGAGCTATCTACTAGCTTATATTCCTGCCCTTTAAAATGGTCTTTTCAGTGGTTTTAAAGATTGAGTGAGACATTGAATATGCAAAAGTACTTTGTGCTCTTGAAGGTGTGAGGGCTTATGAGGGTTCAGTACTGAAAGTTTCCTCTGTTATGTTTACTAGAAGTGTCGCTGAGGACAGGCATCAGGGGAAGGAGAGAGAGAAAGAAGGAAGAATTTTTCTAGAAAAACAGGCAGGAAATTGGAACAAGAAGCAACCTGGCGTCTCTGCCTGGTGCCCTTAGTTGGTCCACATGGACCACAGATTTGGGCTGATGTTTCTGTGATAACCTCAGTGGTGGGGATTTTCTGGCAGGGTCTTGGGAAAGGGGTAGGAAAAAGGAAGAAGCTGAGTGCTTTTAATAGGTTCCTTCCAGGCCAAGGCTCAGCAGAGGTGCTGAGGAGGCGGACGCCATGGAGCGAGAAGAAGGCATCAAAGTGACTCCGAGTCCCTCACCTGTGGTGAAGACAGTAGAGGTGAGACTGCTCCGTGTGGCATCCTGAGCTGCCTGCAGGAGCACTGTGTAGTCAGTGTTCTCTGACAGGCCCTCCAGTCGGATCCAGGTGTCCTCAGCATCCACAATCAGCTCCTGCAGAGAGCCAGAATAGAGGCAGCTGGAGGGAACAGCCAACTTGCAATCTGGGACAGTGGGGAAGCTGGGTCAGCAATGCTGTCCTCTCTATCCCACAGGAAAGAGAGAACTGGCCAGCTCCTATCTCACAAATGCACATGGGATAAATTTAGGTACCTGGGTTATTGAGCCAGTGGCTTTGGACTTCACTGGGCTTGCTGTGGAGCAGAAGCAGCTGAGGAAACAGAGACCCTAGGCCTCCCTACTACTATCAACTAGACCTGCTCTACTTATACTTGTTCTCTGGATTCGGTGTCTATATACAACTTTCACTTTTAAAAAGATCCTACCACAAGGGAAGGTTTGCCAACTAGTGCTCTGGTGGATTGTTTAGACCAATGACATAAAACCAAAATTGATCATCTCCTTACTGTAGGCTACATAGATGGTACTTTTATAATGCTTATCAAGGCATAAAGGCCTCCCGGGTTTATTATCTGGTTCATGTTTGCTTGGCTCTGGGAGCAAGAAATCATTCTGATAACGTAAGATTGGGAGTTTGTCATGTTTTGCACTATGATGCTCAGAGCACCATCATACCTAGTGATGATCCAGAGAGGACACTGACACTGAGAGAGGGCTAATACTTTACTGCAGTGTGGGCAGATAGCGATAGCAAAGCCACAACTTGATATTTCCTGGCCTGTAAACCTCAGTTCTCTCCTCCATAGCAGGCTGTGTATCCAGCATCTGGAACCTCATTGGTTGCCTGTGAATTGGTTTCTTCTCCAGCCATGCAATTTCCATGGGTCACTCCACTGATCAGGTTCCACATGGCCTCATGTGGGAGTAATGTTTTTTCCCCTTTCCAGCTAATGCTTACCTTGCGGCTTCCGTCAGTGGACTTGTATGTCAATACATAGTTTTCAATCTCTGCTCTGGGTGGCTGCCAGGAGATCAGTGCGCTTTGCCTGGTGACTTCGCTGGCTGTCAGGTTGGCGGGAGGATCCAGGACTGCAAAGAAGAGAAAATGCTAAGGTGTTCCTACCTCTCCAGCTCTTCCTTGTTCGATTTCAGGCATGGTAATCTTGCTCACAGGGCTGTTCCCATGCTGACTCTAGTTCTGGCTTGGATGGGAGCACAAAGGGTGCTATTATCCTCTTTGAAGCTACTCCCACCCCCCCACAAGCAGGACTCTGAGCTGAGGCATGACATCTTCCAATACAACTCTTTATGCTTAGGCTCCTGAACCCATTCAACCTCTATCTGCTTGAATTTGTAACCGTCTTGTATCTTCTCTTGTCCTAATGTTCTTCTGGTCATGATTTTACCCAGCAGCTCCCCACTACCACATCAAGCTTTCCAAGACTGGTCAGAGTTTCCTGTACCAGACACAGCCTTAGTCCCAGATTTTCTTGTATGGCTCTGCTATTGTCACAGAGATCCTGAGTGTAGAAACAGAAGTGCTAATTGCATGGACCACATTCAGCCAAAACATGTTCAGATCATTAAAACCTATAGCTTATTATTTATTCCATTATAAGGACGCATCATTTTTTGGCTCCACATAATCCTCCAGGGATGATACCAGCCATGCAGGAGCCTGTACTCACGGGTAGAGAAGTTGGTGGCGATAGTGCCACTCATGAGTGGCCCACTGGTGGCATACATGGTGACGGTATAGTGGGTGCTAGGAAGCAGGTCAACAAGCTGGAATTCTTCGTTGACTCCATCTACCAGGATGGTCTCTCCAGCAACTGAAATCAGATCCATGCAGCTAAGGAAAGACCCACCATAGCTAAAGGCACTTCCCATGGACTCAGTACCCAAGGATTCTGGGGGAAACTACAGGTGATGGAGCTTATTGTCCCATACAAGGATCCCTTTCCATCTTTTTGTTTTTATTTTTTACTCTTCAGAAAGAGAATTCTGTATATGGAGGCCGAATTGTGTCTCTACCTTCTACTCAGGCCTCTGCAATGGAGTAAGAAGAGTCCTTGTTTATCTGTTTGTCCACTTTTTCCCACCAAGTGCTCCCTCCTTATAGTGAGGAAATTCAGCCCCCACTTCCCAATACATTTATATGACAATTCTAAAATTTCCATAGTCCTGACCTGACTGCTTCTCTCTGGACAAGAAAGTTTGTCAGGGTCTTTGCTGAAGTGCAAATCTTGGGAGACAATTGAGAACAAGAATTGGTGCTGCTGATCAATGCTATAAACAGGATAAGCCTGCTTCTGTGCCTGTCATTTGTATTATTCCAGGCATTAGGACAGCCATGCATCATTGCCACTACATGCTGAATTTATTAACAATCAATGAGTTTGTTTATCACCACTGCCTTGGTGGATCATTCTGACCTGTGGGCAGAGTTTTGCCTTTATTTCTATCATCTTTCACCTTGGTTGAGTTTTGGACCACAGTTTCAGTTTATTAAAACATTTTAAATGTGGATTCAATCAATCACAGTTTTGTTTTATATACAAATTTTGTAAGCACGTCTTCTTGGGGCTCATTCAAGCTGTTACTAAAACTGTTCATTAGATCAGAGCCAAGCCCTCTGTTAGACAATTAGAGTATTCCTGAATCATTCAGCACTTAACAAAGTTTATTAGGCACATCTCCAAACTAGGTCAGACCTAATGTCTGTACTAAACTATGGCAGATCCTTAAATGCTCATCTCTTTCCAAATACGGGAAGGCTGTACATTTCCTCAGAATTCCCTTGTCATATTTACTTTCTATGAGATCATGTTCCTTTCTTCCTCTCTGTATCCCGATTCTAAATTATGATGACTCATTGAGTATAGCTCACTATGCTCTGTCTTGCATAGTTCATGCCACAGCTCATGTCAAGCTGTATTTACTTCTCTGCATCATTACTAGAGGTGAGTTCCATAAAGATAAGAACTCAAGCATTGCTTCTCAACTTTTCTAGGCTTAGTGAGTATGTAGCCCATGGGAGGTTATCAAAAGCATTTGCTGAGTGAATGGATGTGAATGGAGAGGATGGAGCTGTGTGCCTTGTCACTGTGAACAGGTGTGCTGCCTTAGGGGAGTGGGGGATACTTTGTCAGAAAAGATAGGGCTACAGCTGAGACCTGAAAGACAGACTTTCTAGGTTGACTCTTGGGGAGAGAAGTTCCTGGCCAAGAAAATGGCACATGGGCAAATGCATAGAGACTTGAAAAGGCTTTAAAATGCATGCTGATTTAAGAAATTCTGGCTATGCTACACACCAAGGGACAGTAGGAGTTGAGAAGGGCTGTGCAAGAACGTGGCGGGGTTGGGATGTATTCATAATGTCTTACTTTGAGAAGGATTATGCAATCAACTATCATTCCTATCAACTCAAACTCATGGTTTATCATGTACTTTTCCATTTTTTTTTTTTTTTTTTTTGAGACAGGGTTTCTCTGTGTAGCTTTGCGCCTTTTCCTGGATCTCACTTGGTAGCCCAGGCTGGCCTCGAACTCACAGAGATCCACCTGGCTCTGCCTCCCGAGTGCTGGGATTAAAGGCGTGCGCCACCACCACCCGGCCCGTACTTTTCCATTTTAATTAAAGACTAAACGGTATTAAGCTTTCTAATGCTTTGCTGAGATACAATTGTGCTAATAAAGTTGCAAAGCAAAACAAACAGAAATCAATGAGGAAACTTTGTGAACCTTTGCTGGTACACAGTAATGACTAATGCCTTTTCCATTTTGTTTGATAGTGTGTGCTAGTTTTCATTTCCCCAACTTTGATGACAAATTATTCTTTGCAGCTTGTAGAACTAGCTTTCTCTTCCATCTCTGAAAGTCAAGCCGTTTTCCTGCCTTCTGTTCTCTGGTATCTTTGTTCCCTAGATTCCTGAATATAACCCACAAAAATTCTGTGATCACATGTTTAATTTTGGCCAAGAAATAACTTCCTTAAGCCTAGATATTTGGAATGTGTTCCTGTTTTGCTTTGGGCCTCTCTATCCAAATAGTGTAAGGGGAATGAGCATGATGAAAATAGCATTGATATTCAAATTTTTGTGTTGATTCAAACTTTTGGGCCGGATGTAGGTAGGGAAGACCAATACAACAGAAACATTGCTTAGCAGTTCTAAATCAATTGTCACCTGTTGATGTGGTTTGAAAGAAAATGGCCCCCAAAAGGAATGGCACTATTAGGAGGTGGGGCCTTGTTGGTGGAAGTGTGTCACTGTGGGGGCAAGCTTTGAGGTCTCATATATGCTCAAGATACTACCCAGTGAGACAGACCACTTCCTGTTGCCTGTGAGTCAAGGTATAAGAGCTTTCAGCTTCTGTTCAAGCACTGTGTCTGCCTGCCTGCTGCCTTGCTTCCCACTATGATGATAATGGACTAAACCTTTGAAAATGTAAGCCACCCTAATTAAATGTTTTTATTTATAAGAGTTGTCACCGTCATGGTGTCTCTTCCCAGCAATAGAAACCCTAACTAAGACACCTGTTAACACGTTATCTGTGGCAAGTTTGATCTGATGACTTTAGTATTTTTCTTGCTCTGTAAACATCTAGAACAGTAAGTAGTTCTCAGCCTTCCTAATGCTTCAACCCCTTAATACAGTTCCTCATGTTGTGGTGACCCCCAGCTATAAAATTATTTTCATTGCTACTTCATAACTGTAATTTTCTACTGTTATGAATTCTAATATAAATATCTATGTTTTATGATGGTCTTAGGCAACCCCTGTGAAAGGGTTGTTCCATCTCCAAAGAGGTCACGACCCACAGGTTGAGAACTGCTGATGTAGAAAATTCTTCTTTCTTATCTGCAGCCCTTTGGTGGAAATCTCAGCCCAGTTCTGAGTTTCATCTTCCTAACATTAGCTCTGATTTTGTGTTTGTTCTTGGTTGCTTGCCTTTCTTGAGCCTTTCAGACTGAGCTGGTGTGACTTTCATCAAGAGTTTATAAGAGTTGGGAGATGATATCTTGAGGACTTTATAGTGCTTGAGGGCTACACAATTTCCCCAACCTAAGGTAATTTCTGATTTGACTCTCAGATGGCAAAAATGAATTACTTCTTCACTTCCACACTGACTTGCAGCTCCAGTCTACACCCCATCCCCACCGCACCTGCAGGCACTCACTTGCAAAGTGTGTGAGGACAATGACATAGTTCTCCACTTCACCAATGGGTGCTTTCCATTGAAGCAGGACTTCTGTGGGGGTGATGTTGGTAGCAACCAGATCCACAGGGCTGTCCATGGCTGAAACAGAACAGCAGAACATCAGGTTAAAGAAAGAGCAGCTGCAGGGTAGAAGTACCACAAACCATCAGAATTTTCCCATGTGGTGCACATCTGTCACTCATCTGGATAAAACAATGGACTGGAGACTGATTCTTTTTCTCTCTGTCTGGCTCCATTTATCTCTTTCCTTCTCCCTTTTTCTTCTATCTTTCAAATATCCACTTCTCTCCCAATTGCTCCAAGTCCTTCTTTTAAATTAATTCATTAATTTATTTTGTGCAGAATTTTTCGACACGTTCAATGGGAAGTGGAAAATGCAAAATACTCTGTTGTATGTTAGATATTTCACTGGAGATAGCATGAAGAACCTATTGAAGATATTATGATTCTTTAGTTACTGGGATAATTCTGCTTTCCGGTCTGCTTGTTCTTTCACACATGCAAGGGTGACCTTTGGAGAAAGACCTCTGTGAACCTCGGGAAGTGTGGTAAAAGTGCAGGGGCACCCCACACCAGGAACTCAGTCACAGAGTCATGTCCACTTCCCGAATTCTTACATCACTATTCACAAGCTTCAGTCTAGACTATCTTCAGGGCATCCTTTTTGTTGCATAGAGAGTCATGGTAATTCACTCAAGCTTAGGGAAGCCAAGACTGCCTGTCAAGGGAAGAGAGTTTGCTTGTGAATGGATTATGACTTTACTCATCCATGCTGTAACTCTTGTGTTTACTTATGTGCTTCCTTTTCATAAAGTAGGAATTTATTTATAAAGTGGATGTTATTATAACAATTTAAGTGTCAGTTCAACCTGAGTCATACAATTTATGTTTGAGAACCAAAATCCACTGTTAGTCTACTCCTGTTCTTTAATTAAGTGAGCTGTATTTGGTGTTTTTTTTCCTCTCTCTTCTCTTTTTGCTTATGTTCCTCATCATAAAGTAACAATAAAAACCCTCATAATTTAATGTTTTGAATTTTATCTATAATGTGTACTTTCAAAAACTTCTTCAAATGCTGCTCTTACTGAAGTATAGTTGGGTGATTTCTGAGATGTGGATGATCTTTTGAAGGAGTTCTCATTTCTAAAAATTTTAAGATCGTTGTGACTACTTTCTGAGAACAGGACAGTTCCAGGAAGTTGGAGGGCAATGTGGCTTAGTGTGCTGCTGAGTTTCTGCTTTTGAGATGTCTGCTGCCTGTGGCCAAGAATCCTAGGAGTTAGCTTTGGTCCTGGTCACAGCCCTCTTATCTTGGGATCAAGATGTTCTAGAAATCCATTTTATGATGTTCAATGAGAAAATATGGCAGAATTTTCAGGAGGGCAGAAAAGGGACTTTCTTTGCTCAGTGGACATTACTTCTGGTCAACACTTACTAACCAGATGCTTTAATGATCACAGATAATTAGAGGATTAGGGCCAGACTGACTGATAAAACATAGCTAGTGCATCTATAGTCACAGACCTGAAGAAGGGAGACTCAGAAAGGTTAGCATACTCTGTGCTGTCCTGAGAAGGCTACTCTATGTTTCAGAAAGACGTTTTGGCCACTGTGTAAAGAGATGCTGTTTTGGCGCATGTGAGAGTATCTACAAAGCAGTGAGGAATTTTTAGGCACATTTCCCTCCTTCAGGAAACACCATCTCCAGGGAAATTAAGCAGTGTTGGGAAATCCAGGTGTTCTCTTAACGAGGCAGGCGGAATGTTTTCCTACATGTGATGGAAACTATGCTTTAACTAGAAGGTCTGTTCTGGATGTTGAGGATAGAAACTGATGGTTGTGCCTTCTAGTGACATCTATAGCAAATCTTTGCTGATTTTACCGATATACTTGCTTAAGGACCAGAGAAGGAAGGCTAGCAGAGCTGCTGAAAGGGAGCTCTGTCCCCAGGCTTATCCAAAGGGCTAGTCTTCTGAAGAAGGTATGGGAAAGGGAATTCTCTTCCCCACTTTCCAATATTACAAGCTGTTCTATCTCCCCAACTTTTCTTCCTCTGGAGCTCCTTCTGTGAATGGGCTTGTGGACACAGAGGACTCTTGGATCTGATTAGACAGCATATAGGAGAACAAGGACTATACAGTGTTCCTGTTGGTGTCTAAGGATTCTACACACTGTCAACTTCACCTCCATTGCCTTCATACAGGAAAAAGACTTAGAACCTTTTTCCTGGAGCATAAAGCAAAGGCAAAGGGTGGCTATATAAGATAATAATCTCATCCCCCAATTTTCTGTAACTGAAATAACAACCCTTCCCTGAGGTTCTCCCACCCCGAATGTCTTAAAGATTCAAATATCTGCTGTGGAATGCGTCCCCATCATGCGTCTTTGAAAGGGCACTCTTCATAGTGGAAATTCCATGGACATTCCTAACCTGAATCAGCAAGACTCCTCGAGTGTGACTCATTATTAAATTCCTATAATTAGACAGTACAGTCTGGGGGGAGAACTTACAACTTGTCCTGCAGGGCACAGTGAGTCAGAGGAGGCCAAGGAACCTGATACCGGCTGTATGAACTGGAATAATCTCACCCTGCTTCCTGTGTTTGTTTCAAACCCACTCCTCATGTCCTGACCTGACTCTCAACAAGGGAGCCATGTTTACCTGTGTGTACGAGGGTGCAGATGCGTTCACTCTCCTCCCTGCCTCGCACACTGTTGAGACTTATTTCATATTCAGTAGCTGGATGCAGCCTGGTGATGGTGAACTCTGTCACAGTGTTGGGCACCACAGAGCTGTCCAGCCGTCCCACTAAGGAAGAACAAAATCCATCATTAGAAGTTCAACAGCTCTCTCATCAGTGGGTCCATGGCTCAGTGTACATTGGGACAGTGGGTCATGAAGCACAGATGGATGTGGGCTCAGCATGCAATAGGGAAGGCAGATCAATAATTCATAAGATGGTAATAGTGGAGCTTAAATAAATCTTATATGCTGGCCTCACTCTTTCATTTTATGGGCTTCTTAGAACAAAAGTAAATGAATTATTTACTATGTCAGTTTCTATCAGACTGGTCTTCTCTTAGGTGACCATATCAAGGCAGTGTAGTGGGCTGAGCTGCAAAAAGTGCTTATGCAGCTCAGAGAAAGGTCACCTGGAAAACTGTCCTACCCCAGCTGGAAGTGGGTATGTCTTCCACGCTGTTAACAATGCCTCACACACCAGCAAGAGCTGGCAGTATGCAGGCAAGGTCTCAGCCAACTTCTCTGACTCACACATTGGCGGCAACGGCAGAATTAGGATCATATCACTGTGGATTCCTCCAGGGCTCCATCTGGCTCTGCTGGATCTTTATCCATTTCCTGGATTCTAGTCTTAGACTATATGCTCAGGAGAGTACATGTAGCCCTAGCTCTAGGGAAAGTCTTTTAGGGTTCACTGTTTCTCATTGCACAGCCTAGCTAATGGTGTCCAGTTGCTTCCACTGGTGAAGTGTCGGGCTTTCTTGGTAATGTAATCAAGCCATTTTGAGAGGAGTTGGTGAACTCATGGTTTCCCAGTCGTTCTTCACAGACACACTCTCATTTTGAGGGAGTATGCCACAGAAAGGGGCCAATGTCCTGTGGATGTGACTGTACCCCCAAATTTATCTCCACCCAGCTTCAAACCTCATTTATGTTTGAGAAATAAAATCATTTCATTACCTTGTGTGGGTCGATATGATACTCGGTAGTAATCAAAAGGTGCAACGGGAGAGCTCCAGGAAACCATCACTGAATCCTTAGTCACATTGCTAATTGTAATGTTTTTGGGGGGATCAATTCCTACAAAGATCAGGGAGTTGTGGGAAAAAGACAGAAGCACAGTTTGAAAACGGAATTTCTATTCCTAGTTTTGCCTTGATCCACTAGTGTCCCATAGGCAGGCACAGCCCTATATAACTAATAGCACATCCCTAACAAGATGGCCAGTGTGATGTCACACCTGAAGCATTGGGGCCATGACCAAAGTCAGTTATGAACATTCTAACAACGGGAAGCTAAGTTGGCAAGATCTGGGCTTCTGTGCAACAATTACTATCTATCTAGACCACCTAAAACTTCCTTTTAAGTCCCTGTAATTTATTTCAAGTAGGGAATTACATAGTTATCTTCTCTGAGGGAAACTTTTCTTGGAAAGATCCAATGCCGCTACTATCCTCTTTTTTTTTTTAATTTTAATTTTTTTTAGCAGCCACCTTTGGTTCAATTGGGGAAAACTGCCTATTAACTGTAGAGGGATTTCAGAGCACAAATCCCAAACAAATATACTTTCCTAAGTTGTATTTTACTTAGGGTACATACTTAAATTGTGGAGTTGAATCAGCTGATTGTTCAATATACTTTTTCAATTTGTGAGTTCTTGTCAGTTGATAGGGAACTACCTAAACACAGGTGTTCTTATGTACACACATATCATATTTGGGATTGCATTTGCAAATGATCAAATGGAAATGACCCAATTCATCTTAGAGCACTGTGTTTTCCAAACAATGTGCAAATCAACCCCAGTCTTTGAGTGCAGGTCACCACATAGTTGCATGCTAGTTCTGTGTTGATTCTGAGGAAGATTGACTTGTTGGGTAGTCAAGATGGCTCTTCAAAACAGAAACATCATCCTTTCACTTAGAAGGGTTCCTTTGGAGCCTAGCTTTTTCCAGGGATTTTTTCTTAGGCTGGTAGATCTAGGACCAATGCATTTATGACTTGAGCCCTCAGAACATTGGGTCGATCCTACTTTCCAAATGGGAGTTTCTCATTGTATGCTTCTTATGCAGCCCTGGAAGAAGTAGCTGCTTCAGAACAACTCACAGAGGCCTGTTAGCCATAAACTCAGTTTGCTATTCCTTGAATGTTTCCCTTTTTTAAATTGCATTGGCTTATCAAAGGCTACTGTGAGAAGCCCCTTCACCAACCTTTCCAACCTCACCTGTAGTGATGGAACCCACTATGGGCTCAGAGGTTACTGTCCCATGGACAGCTACAAGGTTCACTATATATTCAGTGGCTGGCTGTAGACCCATCAGGACAGCATGCCTCTTGGTGGCATCCAAGAGGACCTCCATCATCTCTTCCTCCTCATCCCTGGGGCTGTAGTTCAGAATGAGTCTGTCTGCTGGGGGAGATGGGTCACTCCAGGTGATGTTGACACTGGAGGAGGTCACATGAGAAAAGTGCAAATGGGAGATAGGGCGGAAGCCTGCAAAGTAGAGAAGATTGGCGGCCCTGAAACATGAGTGTGGTAGTAGGTCGTTGGGCAGAAGAGATCCTTGACGTCCTTCTTTGCTAATGAGGGCTGCACTCTCACCTGCTGGCTCAGAGGGCCTACCTCCCCACACTCCAGTCCCACCTAGTCAATTCTTCCCAAGCCATATCCTGAACAGTCAATTCTAAGAAAACTAGAAGCACTTCTGTGAAGTATTCATCATACTGATCCAGGATTTAAAAAACCTCTAGCTTGGAAAAAAAATGGTGACATAGAGCTTTAACATTCCCATTGATTTAATGCAGGAAGGGCAAGGTGGGGACAAATCAAGTACTGTGTCCAGGCTGTAAAAAAAGTCAGACATAACATTTCAGATGCATGGCGTCCTCACCCACCCCTTTCCTTTACTTCCAAACACATCCTTTTCGTGTATGTATTAATTTTTTCCTCTCTTCCACCCTACACATCTCTTTTAGTGTTCTCTTTTGGAAGACTGGGGCATCCAAATGACCTTCTCACATTAAGATCTATTTATTCCGGAACCTCACTGAGATGTCTGCTCCCCAGGTACCTGTGAAGGCATCCACAGTGGACTCCAGGCTCTGCTGCCGACCCCTCTCAGCAGTGATAGAGATGATGTATTCTGCTCCGGGCTCTAGATCTGTCAGCGTATATGAGGTCCTGTCCCTAGGCACAGTGACTTCTGAGGAGATCCCAGAAGATGGGGTAAAAGTAATTCTGTAGTGATCAATGGGACCACTGGCCTTGGTCCAGATGAGAGAGATAGAGGTCTCTGAGGAGGCTGTTACCATAAGGTCTCGGGGACTGTCAAGTTCTGTGGATTAAAATAAGTTTTATTTATTTATTTATTTATTTTTTGTTTGTTTGTTCATTCATTCATTCATTCAAGGTCTTATATAGACTAGACAGGTCTTGAACTCATTATGTATCAGAGGATGATCTTGAACTTCTGATCCTCTTGCCTCTGCCTCCCAAGTGTGAGAAGACAGGCATGTATCACCTCATTTGGCAATTAGCCTATTTCCCACTGGCTCTGTAGGACAGCTACTGGTTAGGGAACTACCCTGTGTGTCTCCAGGCTGCCGGTAGACCTGCTGACCATGAGCCCTAGCTTGTCATGGCTGATACTCTTCTCACATTTTGTTAAATAGCTTCCCTTTGGAAGACGGCCAGGGATACACAACAGATGGACAATCTGTAGAAAGGGGTTATTAGCAGCAACACGCTGGAATATATCCACCACTGGGATGGATCTAGTTGCTGATTTGCAAATGCTCTGTACTTGTTTTCACTCATCCTCCCTTGGTAAGCCAAACAGAGAAAAAGAGGAGCCAGCACCACATAGGATAAGGTGTTCCTGGCAACTAAATTTCCCGTCTTCCCCTCCCTAACTTAAAGGTTATTTTGGGCTGTTCTAACCACAGGTATACAGGTATGAGGACTTCTGTAGACTCTTGTTAGTGTGCTCTTCTAGCAAGTTTGTTTATGCTAGGCTGAATCTTTGGAATAGGGATTGACCCAAACCTCTAACCCTGCCCACCCTATAATGCCTATATTTAAGCTTACTAGAGTGACTTTGAAATTTCCCAAGGACTTGGAAGGGAAACTGTTGGATCCAGAGCAGGAGGAATCTTAAGTGGGCTTTTACTGTTGCTTTGGGATCATATAGGACATTTCCAAGTCTAGGTCTTCATTGTGGCGGCCTTTTTGAGTGTTCCTGCAATGCAGACTGGGGACACACATTCTGTCTGCTGTGAGGTGGCTTAGACAGAAATACAGTCTGCTATGGCATCAGCCTGTGGGGACTTTCGGATTGTGGGTCAAACACAGATCCACAGTGAATAGGGTGGGACTTCAGATGTCAGGTCAGGCATAGGGTAGATGCTGACAGTTGACAATGGTTTTCAACAGGGTCTTGTTCACTGGGAGGGTTACCCCATGTCTGATCCTAACAGAGCTAGCCTCCACACACCTCAGTCTTACATGCTTACAGCTTAGTCACCTTCCTCACCATTCTCCTACTTACCAGTCCTGGCGTTCATGGTAGCAGGAATGCTTTGTTTTGAGTTCATGACTGCAGATATTCCAACTCCATATTCTGTGCCTGGCACCAGATCTGTGCGTAGATGCAGAAACAAACATTATTCTGCTTTTTCTTTCTCTCTCTCTCTCTCTCTCTCTCTCTCTCTCTCTCTCTCTCTCTCTCTGTGTACACATATATCAACACACAGGTGTATGTGATGAGGAAGGCTAAAAGGAGAGAAGAAAATGATCATAGACTCCTGTTTAGATTTCATGTTTAGTCCACCTTCAGTTTGCTCCTAATTTTACCCATTAAGAAATCCCAGTTTTGCTGCTTGGAAAATCCATATGAAGTCATTAGGAAGAACTGGCCAGTGCCAAGTGGCTGCTTATTACGGGTCTCAGACAGGCAGTGAGGCTGCCCCTGTCAGTGTCCTTGGGAAAAGTGGCCATGTCTAGAACGTTTTCCTGTGTACATGAGTCTCATGTTGGCTAACACAATGAAGTGGTTTCTTGCTTAAACTGTGAGGTGTGAAGAAAATACAATCAATAGGAACAGTGTAGACATGAGCCCTGGAAGAGTTTCTTGACCATGTGTAGGAGGATTATATTACATATTTTACAAATAGGTCCTGAGACCACACCTATGAACATAGGGATTTTTGGGTTACTTCTAGAGGCCACAATGTATAGACTTTTCCTTAGAACATGGGACTATCAGGCTTTTAACATAGATGTGTACAGAATTCCAGTACCTCTCCGGCAAGGTCAGTCACTTAGTCCTGGATATTTAAGCTACGGATCAGTTACAGTTTACAGTGGCTTCTTATGGACTCAGAGTTTGAAGGGAATTCAAAATTAAAGGGTATAAGCCTTGTGGGAAATCCTTTGGGAGTTTATTACAAAGGATCACTGACAGGTTCCTGGAGCATCTGGAATTCTCTCGAGTCTTTCTCTCCACTGTTCCACATTCATTTTCAGATCAAGTGGTTTGATTGATGTAATAGTTTCCTATTGCTACTGTGACAAATTACCACGATTTAGTAGCTCACAACAATACGAATTAATGATCCTCTAACTCAGGAGGCCTGGGATCTAAGATGGCTCAGCAAGGTTGCCTTCCTTCTGGTCCTCCCAAGGGAGGACCCATTTCTTTGCTTTTTCAGCTTCTAGGGGCTGCATGCCTCTCTTGTCTCTTGTTTATTAATTTGCCCTCAGAAAGCCTGAAGCTTAACATCATCAAACCCTTTTCTCTCTCTTTGATCTCACATTCCATTGTCATATCTACTTTGCCTCTGACCTCCCCGAATCTAACTTATTATAGGGACCAAGGTCAGTAAGTTGGACCCACCTGATAGTACAGGACAAAGATTCTTAATCGAGTGAGCAAAGTCCCTTTTACCACAGAAGGTGATGTAGTCACAGAGGCCAGGAATTAGGATGTGGATATCTTTGGGACCATTATTCTTCTACTATAACTAGCTTCAAACTCACCCCACTTATTAAGACTTAGATTATAGAAAAATACAGCAATCTCATCGCCATCCCTGGGGGCCTCCAGTGGTCTGGCTAATTCCTTTCATCAGGCTTGTTATGAGGCCTGCCTGGGGTCCTGAGCACTATGGATTGTAAGACTCTCTTGTGTTTATGCAACATTGTGTTTTTTTAAATCATGAATGTACTTGGAACTTCATCACAATCCCATGAAGGTGGATGGGCAGTGTTATCCACTCATATTAATCACCTGTGGCTGCTGCCATAAACTACTATAAACTGGGGGCTGAAAACAACAGAAGCATATTCTCTCACAGTTCTGGAGTCCAGATGTCAGAGAACAAGGTCTTGGCAGGACAAAGCTCCTCCAAAAGCTTTAAGGGACCCTGTCTTGCTTCTTCCTGGCTTCTGGTAGGATGCCTAGTTCTCTTTCCCTGGCTTGCAACAGCACCACTACAACCTCTGCCTCTTCAGGCGTGTGACATTCCTTCTCTCTGTATGTTTCCTCATCTTAAAAGGACATCAATTGCACTGGATTAGAGTTTAAGATGAACCCATTTGAAACTGATCACATAACCACAGACCCTTTTCCCAAATACTGTCATTTCTGTGGGTTCTGGGTGGACATGGATTTTAAGGATGACACCATTCAACTTGGTGTAATATTTATTTAAAAAAAAAACAAGAAACTGAGGCAATGGGAATGAATCTGTGACCACTTGGAGTTTTTCAAGCCTCAGAGTTCAAGGCCTGGGAGGTTTCTCCTATCCTAGCTACATCTGATCCTCTGGGCTACTGTGGCTTCCCGAAGGCAACACCAATGATTTTTTTCCAGGGAATGTGTTGATTAGCCTCTCCTTAACCAATGGCTTGTTTCAACAAACAGGAATGCTGCATAGGAATCAGAAGGTTCTACCCTGTTCCTGGCTTTGGTTTGGTTCCCACTCTGTGTGATTACAGCAGAATCTGACCTGGTCTTACCCATGAGTCTCCCTTGAAGGGATGCGGTTGGGCCCTATCCGGGCAGAACAGAATTAGGCTCCATTTTCCCACCTCAAACCAGCTTGTCCCTTCTCTAACCCTTGCTTGGTTCTCTCCTGAAACTGTCAACCAAAGTAGAGGTAGAGTTTGAAGCATCGCAGGCTTTGGAGTCTGATGTACATTTACATATGCAGGCCTGGCTACTTCCCACATGTATAACTTTGACTACTTAATATCTTTAGGCCTCAGTTTCTAAAGAATGGGAATAATAAGCTTGGATGTCAGAGGGTCACTGTTAAGGATCCAATGAATTTTCTGTGTACAGGTCCTTGTCCATAATGATTGTCATCAATATTATCATTACCCAGCACAGAGATGTATCCTAGGATGTTTTTAAAGCCTTTTCATGTAGGTGGTCTTATCATTATCAAAAAGTACCCAGGCAGGTACAGGTTGGTTTTAGGTACACTTTTTGTTGGTTTGCTGAAGCTTGGCCCCTGACTCTGATGCAAATGAATGAATGAATGAATGAATGAATGAATGAATGAATGACTCAAGGAGTCAGGGTGTTAGTGAGGAGTGCTCTCTGGCTGGTCTCAGTACCTGTTTCTAGTCTGAGTAGGTGATTGCTATGCATACAGACCTGTTTAAAACACACCGTCATTGCCATCAATGTAGTCCACTATCCTCAGAACACCCCCTCATTGGAGAATGCAGTTACCTTTAGGGCACCAACTGCTTTTCTCAGGCAACTGATTGAGACCTTCAATTGCTTATAATGAAGTAGAAATTTTCCAACGTAGGCAAAGGGTGACAGATCAAGGCAGTAAGACAGAAATTATATGTTGCCAAGCGGATCTAGCATGTAATGTTTTCATCCCAGTTTCTTATTTATGAAGCTTAAATGAAATGTTCAATAATTTACAGCAGCATTGCCTTCCCCCCGAAAACAGCAGATGTTAGAGCGCTCTTCCCAGACTTTCTGTCTAGGGGACAGGGAAGCGGGACTCTCTTACAGGCCTCGGCTTGCTGTATCCCTTTGATTTTCAGCAGCTTTCCTCCTGCGCTGCGAGTGAATTGTTGCTCTTTGGCAGCAGGTAAAGAGCAGTTCTGCTGGAGAAGAAAATGGGTATCTGAGGCATAGCTGCCGCACCTCCCTCTCAACACACAGAGCACGCTGGGGGATTTTTCACTTTAAAGACCCCATCACTCGCCATCAACGATCCCTTTATTTTTCCATCCAGCTTTTGCGAGTGAAAGCCTATAAATGGCTCCATTCCCTGTCTTAACAAAAGCTCAGACAAGTCATCCCATAGGATGTCACTATTCTCCATCCCTTATAGAACTTCCTTTGTTCAGCTTGAGGGCTGACACTTCCCTAAACTCTTTCACTATATGCCCATTCTTCTCTGAATCCCTAAAGCACACAGCTCATCCGGTCGGTCCGCAAGTATTACCGAGGGTCCCCTGTGTGTCAAGCATGAGGCTGTGGGCTTTGGATATGAAGTGAGCTGATAAGACATCCCCTTGTCCTTTTGAGGGTCAAAAATGCATCTGAACTGGAAAAGTAAATTAATTACTTATTGACTACCCTTGCTATGCCAAACACTGAGCTGCAAGTAATAGGTGATCTGAAAGAAAAAGAAGAAAGGATAAGAAGAAAGACGAGGTTAAAACAAGGATTTTGAGTGTCTTGATGGTGAAGACGACAGCTCCAAGTGTACCTTTTATAGAGACCCATGTGTGCCCTTAGTAACTCCCGTGCAGCTCAACTCATGAACAAATATGGGCTCAGAGACGTTCATCCCTTGACCACAAAGCTAGCACAGGACAAAGCAAGGCTTAGAACCTGGTATCTTTCCCTAACTGTCATACAAGTTGGCTTTGGGGACTGGTGTGAACAAACCAGAATCGGAGAGTCAATACCGTGTGCTATTACCTAAGCGTGGCTTCAGAGAATGGACTCAGCTTGGCTGTGGCAGCCAGAGAAGGGACTCAGGCTGGACCTTGAAATCCAGCTAAGATGAAGAAAGATGGAGTCTCCTTGTGGTCAGAACAGGGCAGGGCAAGCACCAGTGGGCTAGTGAGAGCTGGAAGGTGATGGGCATGCACCAGTGCTGTACTGCAAGGATGGCCTCAATGAGGGCAAAATCACTCACTTGCTCCTGCTGAGGAAACCTATGCTTGCAGCTGCTGGTGGGGAGCAATGGGGAGGCCGGGGGATGGAGGAGGCGGGGGATGGAGGAGGCCGGGGATGGAGGAGGCCTAAGGAGCTGTCTCTCGCCAGCAGAAATGTAAGTCACCTGCCATCTGTAGGCTTGATTGGCTTCAAGTGGGCATGAGTTAATGTGGACCCTTTTCATGTCTAAATCCCCGGGTCTCTCTCCCACAAGCCTATGGAACTCAAGGCTACCAAACGGGAAATAAGGGTTTAGTTAGTCCTAGTCCACTGGTTTTCGCAGAGAGGCACAAACCATGAACCCTTTCCTTAAGGAGCTTACAGTCAGTATCTTAATCTTGACAGCCTGTGTCAAGCCATATCTGACTTATGAAAACAAGACCAGATGCCATGGCCCAGCACAGCGAAATTCCTTGGTAGTGCAATTTTGAGGCAGAGCT